TTTTCCAAAAGATACTCAGAGTAATAATCAATGATTGAACAAGATTCAAAGTACTCAGTTTTTTTCAAAAGATACTCAGAGTAATAATCAATGATTGAACAAGTTTCAAAGTACTCAGTTTTTTCCAAAAGATACTCAGAGTAATAATCAATGATTGGACAAGATTTAAAGTACTTAGTTTTTTTGTAAAAAATACTCAAAATAATAATTGATAATTGGACAAGATTCAAAGTACTCATTTATAGTAGTATACATATTTCCAAATAATAAAATCGATATTCAATTGACAAAATTTTTTATAGTAGCATATATATTCCCAATTAGTAAAATCAATGTTCAATTGACAAATTTTTTTATAGTAGCATATATATTTCCAATTAGTAAAATCGATGTTCAATTGTCAAATTTTTTTACAGTAGCATACATATTCCCAATTAGTAAAATCAATGTTCAATTGCAAATTTTTTTACAGTAGCATACATATTTCCAAATAGTAAAATCGATATTTGATTGACAAATTTTTTTATAGTAGCATACATATTCCCAAATAGTAAACAAATATCAAATTACTTAAATATTATAATTTACAAGAGAAATTAAAAACTTAGTTTTTTTTTGACTAATTTTTTAATTCTCTATAAAAAAGACTCGTAGAAATCTTAAAATTAACTCCATCGAATCTTAGGATTTGATACTGAAAGCAATATTGGTGCTTTTATAAATAATTAATATAATTATTAATTATTTAACAATGTCTATTCAAAGAGACATTGTGACTTCTTTCTCAAAATATTCACAAATAAAACAAAAAGTATTTCATGAGCATTTTATCGTATTAAATTCTATATCATTTCGTAATATCGATTTTGAATATTTATATATAATTTTATATAAAAAACGAAATCCTAAAGAGCAATTTGATTTATTAAAACATAGTAAACATATTAAATTTTTTGACTTCTTTAAATGTAAATGTGGTAATAATAAAACCAATTTTTGAAATGAAAAAGAATATAAATTTCGTGAAGATTTATGGCAACATGATGACAGACATACTAATTAGGAATGTCCATTTAGAAGATGTTGTAAATATTTTAAACTACTTCAAAGTGTTGATAAAAATATTCACAAAAAAGATCACTTAGGATCTTTAAGTGATAAAGGTTCTTTAATGAAATTTAAAAAATTACTTCGTAAATTAAAACTAGATTATGATTTTTTTTTTGGGTAAAAAATGTCAACTCAACTAATGCTTTTATTTATAAAAATGAACAAAAATTATTTAAAAATTTTAAAACAAATGTAGTAAAAAAAAAAAGAAAAAAAAAAGTGAATGAAAAAGATAAAGATATTGAAAATATCATAGCTATTGAAAATATTATAAATACTAGATTAAAGAAATTAAAACAAAAAGAATATAAATTACAATCACCTCAATGGCAACTACAATCTCCATCTATCTAGTGAATATTTACCAGATAGATTTTTATTTATGTAATATTTTTTTTTTTTAAATTAAATAAATATTATTATTAAAAATGCCTAAAACACAATCACCAGTTACTAAAAAACCCAACACTGATCCTTATAATAAAAAAGCAAAGAGGGAAATATTTACTAATAAAAAAATTGAATCATATATTACCAAAAAAGGGTACCAATTGAATCAAGAATTACTTGAATTCGCTCTATTAAATTGTTTTCCAAATGTAGAAGAACGTTTAAAAATTGTGGATATATTGAAAAAGATTCAATATGACCAATTAACTCAAATTACTCTAATTAAAGAAAAAATGCCTAAAAGTAGACAACATGTGAAATTTGAAGAAGTTAATAATTGGTTAGATAAAGTGTATAAAGGAGTAAATACAGGTGTTACTATGTCATTAAAGTATTTAAATGAATTAGAAGATAAAATCAATGAGGAGGAGGAAGCTTTAGAAGAAGTTGAGGAGGTAGAGGAATAATCTTTTTATTTAGTTTTAAACCAGATAGTTTTTTATTTAGATAAATATGAAACAAATTAATAATCTTTGGTCTATAAAAAAGACAAATTCTAAAGATCTATTTAATTTTCATGTTGATTACACCAAAGATTATATATTAATTCGAAAAAGTCTATATATATGAAAAACTATTCCCAAATATAATTATACACGAAAATATAAAATTAAATTTTATTATTGTGATAGGTGTGATTCAATGTATAGACGTAAATATTGTAATCTTTGTAAAAGAAAATTATTTTCTGAAAAAGATTTTAATAATGATGATGATATCTCATTGAATACCGAGTTGACAATATCAGATAAACTTTCTTATATATCTGATGAAGGGTTTGTTGTTCTTGATAAAAAAACATATTTTTGTTCTAAATGTAATCAATATCGTTATTCGGAATTTCATACTTGTGTTAGTAATTTTGAATATATTTTTAATCAAAATGGATATATTAATAATAATAAAGCATATTTTATCGATAATTTAATCTAATCAGTTATATAAACTGATTAGAATTTTAAATACATGTCTTTAAAATGGCAGAACAAGAATATAATTTAGCTTTATCTGAGTTTAATAATCTTTCTTCATATAATTCACAATATTTTACTTTTTTGAATACACTTAATGCAATTAAATTTCATAGATTTACTTGTGATTTTACAGAAGCTACAAATCAAATTAAAAATCAAATTAATATTAATAATAATTTAATGCAACAAAAAAAAGAGACTATTGATAAATATGAAGATTAGATTAGAGAATTTTCAATTAATTTATTAGCCAATTCAGATAGAAAGATTTGGTTAAATTAATGAACAAATCCTACAAAGGATTTTTATAATTATTTTCAAAGTATATGTGGATTTAATGAAAAAGAAGAAACTTCTAAACAATGTGCTGTACATGAAACTAAAGAAGAAGCGAATGTTGAAATTGATGAGTTGGATTTAAATTATGTAAATGTGTATTCTGGATTTCGTATTTTTCCTGATAGAAAAGAATGTATGTTTAGAACGGTGATTTATTATACTATTATTGATCAAGAACCTCAAAGAACAGAACCTGATAAACATGATGAATGGTTTCTTTGTGATTTAAAAGATCTTAAAAAATATCAACTTACCGACAGTATTAAAATTAATTTGGATAAAATTATTGAGATGATTTCTAAAAAATATACTTCTATTAAGCATAGTAGTAAAAAAAGAAAAGCTGAAACTGATTTCATTGAAGATGAAATTCAATTTTCAGTTAGTTCTCCTTCTGTGGTGGAAGATAATATTGATTATACTAAAATAGAAATTGATCCCAAATATTTACAAAGACATAGGAATTTTAAACCTAAATAATTTGTTTTTTTTTATTTTTTTATAATATATTTATTTATTATTAATAAATTTATTCTATTCAGTCTAATTGACCGAATAGAATTTTAACTATGTAATTATAATGTTTTTATTTTTTATTATTAAATTAATTGTTATTATTTTACATATTTAAAATGTCCAAGATTCTGCCTCTTAAGGTAACTTGTTTACTGAGTATTGTCTAGTATTATATTAGGTTGTAAGTCACGCTGGGAAATTGCTCCTGTAGAACCTAATATTTTACATTTTGTGAAAACAGCTTAGTATTAAGAGATTTATCTGTGAAAAAAGCTTAGTATTAAATTTGTGATTGATATAATGATAACATACTCATTTTTATTTTATTTTTTTTAGATTTCAACCAAACAAAAAGGAGACGAACTTGAATTACTTTTACTTGAAAAACTTCGAGGAAATCAAATCGAGTGTTATGCTACTCGAACAGAATACAAAATCGATACTAAATTCACTCCTATTGGTGATGGTGAAATTGATTTATTTGGAAATTATAAATTAATGAATTATATAATGCAAGTAAAAAACAAAGGAGATAAATATCATGTTG